AAGCGGCTAAGAGCCGTACGGAGCCGGAGCGCCCGGAAGGGGGGCTGAGTGGTGCCCTCTCCTCCAGCAGCTGCCTCTGCCGGCGCAGAGCCCGACGTCCTGTCGGTGGGAACCACCTCGCCAGGCACCCCCTGAACGGGGCCAGATCGCGCCACAGGTGTGATCCAGAGCCCTTAGCAAAGCTCTGGGCCTGATGGCCAGAGCAGTGAGGCCCGGGACTGTCCGTCCTGGAAGGCCCTGTGAAGCCATCCCCGCGGGGAAGGGACCCGGCGCGGCAGGGAACAAGAACAGGCCAGAGTGCCAGGGAGCAATAAGTGTCCGATGCCCAGGGACTGCACAAGGAGGGGGGAAAAAAAAACAGAGAGAGAGGAGCTGTGAGCTCGTACTCTTCTTGCTGGTCACAGAAAGTAAAGCTGATGAAAATGCAATAAGGGATGGCTAGGAAGAATTACAAGCCCAAGAAAGGTCACAGAGGGGGCTGGAGACTTCTCAGAAGGAAGTGAAGGAGAGATGAAATGCAGTCTGCTGAAAACAAAGCTTACTTTGACTCAAAAATTGCTGTAAGACAGATTTTGAAGACTGCCTTACTGGAGTTGGCAAACAGGATCAAACAGGTACCCAACAATTTTATTAAACATGTTTTATAGGGAGTTTTCAGGAAGGTTTGGACAATATCTTGCCTAATAATTTCTAACTTTATTTAGAGTTGGAGATGATACGCAGTGAGGAATAAAAAATTTGGGAATTTGGCTTAAAAACTGAACTGCGGATCACTATGGAAGCCAACTGCTTGTTGGAAGAATCTAGTCAGCTAGAAAGCAGGGAAAGAAAGAATACATACTATACTTTAATATCCCATTTGCTCCCCAGAGAGGTTGAGAGGGAGAAATCATACCATTCTCCTTCAAGTAATAAATACCAAGTGTAGTAAACATTTATGTAAACAGCCCTGGAAGATTTTTTCACAGATGTACAGAGTCAAAGGAATGGTTGGGTAGATAAGGAGTGTTTCTAGTACTAATCTGAGTACTTGAGATTAAGTACTTCTACCACAGGCTTCCACCCAAACCCTCTTCCTCTGCCACAGGAGCTGTGTGGAAGCTCAGGCCTCAGCATTCCCTCACAGCTCAAGCTGTGCTGGAGCTCAGTACCTGGTCCTGATCCTGAATTACTGATTTCCTGGGTTGATCTTAGACCTGTTACCTTGGTTTTGCCTGACAGCCACTGGACTGTCGTGAAGATCTGTTGCCAGCTCATGGCTGGGGGTCAGTGCCTGGCCTCCCAGGTCATTGTCCCTCCTGCACTGTGGTCACTCTCAGCTCCTGACTGCCCTTCTTTAGTGAGAGGGCAGCCTTTGCTGCTCCCCAACATGCAGAGGTGATCTGCGTCCTTGTTCTGTGTCTCATACAGAAATACCCATATCAATAAAACGTATCTTGTTAACCAAAATGACTGTGTTCAGACCAGGGATATTCTTCCCCTTTAAATAAACCAGTACACTAAATGTTACGTATAACTGTCAAATTAAGGAAAGTTTGTAGAAATATTGTTAAAATTGGTTAGAGAAGCAAAAAACCCTACAGTTAGTAATGAGAAATTTTTAAAAAGGAAGTTGGTAAATACAATGCTGGTACACAGTAAAATAATGATATGGGAAAAAAATTAGGAATGGCTAAGAGTTTCTTCAATTTCATCACCCTTTTTGGAAAATGGGTTGACATTAAACTTAAGAGATAGAGCTAGAGATTCAGTGTTTTAGTTTTGCCGTGTTCTGTTTACCATGCTTTTTAAAGATTTGGTAAGCTTATTTGTATTAGCAGATCTAATAAATATTTAATGGAAACAATGTAATGTGCAGAAACAGTAGACTGGTTTACATTTAATAGTTTTTAGACTGGACATATGAAGGAATAAAATGCTGGATTATTCAAATGGGCAGCTTAAATCCTCTCACACAGTAAATGAATTATTAGAAATCATGCAATCACCCCAGTGTGGAGAAAACAAGGTATAAAAATTGGATTTCAGGAGCTAGACTGAGAGAACTGGATAGTTGAGTAGGTGAATGAACTGATAGTGGCTGATAACTAACAAATGCCAGGAAAAATGGCTTGCAAAATCAGTGTTTCATAATTACCTTTAAATATGTCTCAGTGAAACACCTATTATGTAGGTGACTGATTTGTAACTACCATATTTTTGTACCCCAAGAGGAATAAATTATAATAACAACCCCATGTTGGTACCTGTTCATCAACAGTTTCTCAACTTGAATAATGTGCAGGTGTATGCTAAAACTTTTGAGCAGGAAATATTACAGTTACATAGGTTACGCGACAAGAGTGAGAGAATCAATCTGAAAAACAATATTTAACAACATAAATAACAACATAAATAAATAAGAACCTACCTTCAGGTCTCCGTTAATAAAGAGCAGTTTAATTAATCAAAAGAAATGGGAATGTTTGTGGTAAATTGTAGGGTTCTGTCCATGCTGCAAAAGATCCGCTAATGGGTCTGGCAACATGAACACTGCAATTCAGTCTGGGGAAATGCTAGTTTAAAAGACTGCCTAATACAAGAAGTGTGAGCTGGTAAATCTAGGAATGCTAAGGCAGAGGAAACCAGAAAGGTGAGGGGAGGATGAGTGACCAGAATTTCTTTTAGTAGAAGAAAAAAACCCAAACACTCAACATGGAATTAGTATCACAAACTCTATTTTGTATATATGAAGAAAGCAAAGTCAGGGATATTCTGGAATTCATTGGATGAATACAGAACATGATGATAGTAAAATAGGAGAATTCATCCCAAATTTCAACTATCTAGAGAATGAATATTTAAATATTAGTCAGATTCTGAAAACTATGTTTTCTGTGTGAAAGTGCTAAAAGACAATAGGAAAACAAAAATGTTAAACATGATGGAGATGTTCCTGTTCCAGTGCAGGACGCTTTTCTCTCTGTCCACCTAATAATAATGTGTTCCAAGCTGTAGAACTTCCCCCCTCAGCGCTTTACCTCGTGTATTTATGTAAACAAGCTGCTCATTAGGTAACCCAAATTACGTTTTCTGCAATTCTGTTGGTGATACTAATCTCTGCAGCTGGCCCAAAGGTTTGGTGGTAATTGTAACAGTGAAGGGCAGCAGAGACAGTGAAGCCCCTAAGGAAAGAGAAGGGTTTAACCACACGAGGGTATGGCAATGCCTGCTGGCCTGTCCATAGAGCAATGGTTTTGAATGACTCAGAATAGATGAGCTGATTAACTGTGAATTACTGTCCCAGAAGAGATGAAGCATTAATAGCAAACAAAAGGGAAGCAGAAGGGAAAGTTCAGGCAGAAGAAAATAATCCAGGAATTAAAAGATTGGTGAAAGCCTTAAGAGACTTCCAGAATGACCAGAAAGTCGTAGTTCAATGCCATAGATACTGTGCAATGTACAGTGAATTTGGGCAACTGTGGCTAAACTTATATTTCCCTGTGTAATGCACGAACAGCAACAAATGTACATGCAAACTTAGTTAACTTCTTCTCAGTCAGTGGCAACCCTTCTGAAGCATACTGTAATCTGAATTTACTTACAAAATTCTCTCTGCTACATCTCAGGCGATGTGAATGGCAATAAAACAAAATCTGATTTTATAGATCAATACTTAAGTGTAATCTAAAAGGTTACACCTGGAAAGAGAATATACTACTACCTGAATAATACTGATTATAATGTTCATGTGTGTTTTTCCAAGTTTCTCAGTGGGTAAGGATTAAGATAATCTCTACCAATGTTTATGAACTGATAGAAAGCTTATTAAAGGCATTTTTTAGATGTGAAGCACAAGTTACTTTCTCAACCTCAAGCTTTTAATTCTTGTCCTTATCAAACAGTATGCCTCATGAGTTATGGATCAGGTCATTGGACCATCTTATGTCCAAACAGCCTCCAGAAGTGTTCACATATGTTGCTTCAGAAAAAAGCCTGTTCTTAATTCTCCCAAACTGTGATTCATCAGACATTGTTAGGATCTCTGGTTAGGGTTCAGAGACATTAACTTATGCCCTGAAACAACAGAGATGTTTAAATCAGCATATGTACCTATTTGTGTGTATGAAAATGGGTTGCATCTACTTGTTATCCATTATCAGTTAAGAAACAGTATTCTGTAATATCATCAGAGTGCAGCTGATGGTTGAAAAATTCAGAGGAAAGTATAAAAACTGACACAAAAGAAGAAAAGGGGAAAAAAAAACAAACCCAAAGCAATCACATGAACATAACCAATGAGTTAAATCAAGAGCGTTCTGCCTCCAAAACTGGACACTGGGAGATGTTTAAGGAAGAGAATAAGAACATGGAGGCATGTAGAATCCTCTCCCAGCCTCCAGTAAATTAGTGTATTTTCTATAGAGTAGCTTTCAGGGGATTTTTTCTTCCATTAATTTGTTCAGTTGCTTTTAAATCCATGCATAATTCAGACTCCACTACCCTCTATGGCACGGAGTTTCCATACTTTAGTAACATGCCAGATGAAAAAAAACCACCTTATTTTGTTTGTGCTGAACCTGCCTTAGTAATTTGATTTGACTTCTCGCCAAATATTTCATTGGAAAAGTCACAGAAGAGCAGTTTCTTATTTACCTTCTGCATGTCTTCCATGGTTTCATAAACCTTATGATTTTACGGTCAAAATGACAATTC